CAATTGATTTTGGGATGGAACCCCACTTAAACTTCATCTGGGTTTTCCCTGTTTTGATGCGCTTCATCTGCGTGAGACCGCACCGTTTTATCCCCGTTTCTTACAACTAATATTTATTAGTTGGAATTAAATTTTGTAAAAAATGCTACACGAGAGTTTGTGTATTTATGTGCAAACTTAAATTATTAGTTGGAAATAATAATAATAATAATAATAATAATAATAATAATAATAATAATAATAATAATAATAATAATAATAATAATAATAATAATAATAACAATAATAATAAACAAATATAAGTTCCATGTATTTTTATATGCAATTTTAAAATAAAAAAGATTTGATTCATTCACATGCCCAGTTATATTCAATTGTTTACTATATGTTTTTGTCAAAAATTCAAACTACCTATATGTCCAAACTACTTTTCAAGCAGAATATTTCAAATATATAACCTGTACCATTTTTCTTCAATACCATCCAAGATCACATTTATTTATTTAATTATTATTTATTTATTTATTTATTTATTTTAGGCGAATCCTTGTGTTTTGAATGTCAAATAACCTCTCTCATATTTCATCATAACCAAGGAAATGCTCAGTCTCGTTACGGAACCATTTCACCGGGATTTGTAACCGTTAGATCATCATGTAACCGTCGTGGATAATTGATCTAACGGTTACAAATCCCGACGGACTAATTTCCTGTAGAATCTCCCTCCTTACCAACACTTAATACACCAATTAGTGTCAATAGTGAAAGTTCTTGTCCCATTTGAACAAAATATACCCACCCACCCTGAGTCAACCCCACCTCAAAATTTAGCTAACTCAAATAAACTAGGGCTGGCATTTTTTGACCGAAAACCGAAAACTGAACCGAACCAAACCGAACCGATGTGCTAAAAAACCGAACCGAACCGACTCTTGTTTATCGGTAACCGAATGTCGGTTACCGATAAGTTATCGGTTCGGTATCGGTTCCGAACCCATTAGGGTTTGGTAAAACCGATACCGAACCGATAAGCTAATAAAAAAAAACCTAAATATATATATATATATATATATAATATATATAAGTAAAATTTATATATATATAAGTAAAATTTATATATATATATAAGTAAAATTTTACTTATATATATAAGTAAATTTATATATATAAGTAAATTTTATAAGTAAATTTATATATAAAGTAAATTTTATATATATATAAAATTTATATATATATATATAAATTTTACTTATATATATAAATAAATTTTACTTATCATCATTGATATATGTTTTTTTTTTTTTATGTGAGGAGAAGGGAGCAGCAATTTTTATTTTTTTTCTTTCGGTTTTAGTTCGGTTTTTACCGAAACCGAACCGATTTTCGGTAACCGAATTTTCGGTTACCGAATCCTTATCGGTTCGGTTTCGGTATGGATTTTTGATACCGAATCCTTATCGGTTCGGTATCGGTTTTTGGTTATCGGTTCGGTTACCGAACCGATACCACCCCTAAAATAAACACTCCCAAAATCCGAGGACGGAAAAAAAAATTACAAAAACAAAATGGACACAAAATCACCTATAATCCTCATACTCTTCTTCGCAATCCCAGCTCTATGCACCAACCCACCGGAGCCTGATTACTGCGACCCATCCATCGGTCCCGAAGTCCGCTTCCCTTTCCGGCTGGCTGACCGGTCCCCCAACCGGCGCGGCTACCCGGGCTTCGACCTGTACTGCAACAGCGACAACCAGACGATCCTCAACCTCCCGGAATCCGGCGACTTCGTGGTGGACCACATAGACTACTCTGCCCAAGCCCTGCTCATCAACGACCCTGATTCGTGCCTCCCGGCCCGAATCCTCAACTTCAGCCTATCGGGCTCGCGCTTCCGGGGCATCAACACCCGGAATTTCACCTTCCTCAACTGCTCGTCCGACTACAGCCCGGCCCGATTCATGCCCCTGCTCTGCCTCAGCGGGAGGAATTATACGGTTGTGGCCGTGAATTCGCACCTGCCAGCGGCGTCAGCGGAGGTGCCGCCGGGTTGCCGGAGAATCTCCTCCGCCCTGGTGCCGATGCAGTGGACGGTGTCGCCGTTCTACTGGTCGTCGATGGATCTTATGGATGATCTGGAGCTGGTTTGGAGCCAGCCCGAATGTTGGAGGTGTGAGAGTGAGGATGGGGTTTGCGGGCTCAGGAGGTTAGTTTTAATTGTTTGTGTTCATTTTTTTTTTTTTCTCTCTTTTTATCTGTGTGTTTTTTTCCTACTTGATATTCTTTTCACTGTCATTCATCTTCAACCGAAAACTTATTCTCAAACTCATTTTGAGTAACTGTCACACATTTTGCAGTAATTCACCTCCCACCGAAAAACTCATTCTCAAACGCGAAAGAATATTATTTTTTTACATCAACTTTTACAACTTTTAAATACTATTCACGTATTTTACAACTTTACAAATTAAACAACATTATTATTTTAAATTCAATTTGAACTTTATGTAATAAAATTAATTATAAAGTTATAATCATATACATGATAAATCGAAGAAATAAATATTCATTAAAATAAAAATTACAACACACATATAAAATTAAAAATTGCAACACATAAGATGAAAAATTAAAAATTACAACACACAAACTATGTTAAATTATAAATTTATAATAAATTACTAATTTGTGCACATATATTAAATTGTAGTTTGCCTATCTTAAAATTTTGAAATTATTTTGAAGGGTATAATTGTTTTTTATGATAACTTAGTTCAAAGTTTTGATATGCATGTTATGAAAATATTTTAACAAATAATTTAGAATGTAATGAAAATGTTTACAAACGTACTTCTTATATTTTATGGTTTGTGTAGATGTTATGAAATTACTTACAAATATTTTTTTAGTTGTGGATCTAATATACACATTACATATATACTTGTTATATTTTATATTTTAGTGTATTTTTACAAGCAAAATAATTATAAAATAAACTACTTATCTAACAACTCAAATTACTTTAATTGTCCTGAGAAAATATTTTTTTATAATAATAAAATTGCATCACGCTTAAGATGGAAAACATTATGTATTTTTTTCCTTGAATAATAGTTAATAGATTGTATATAATTTTGGTGTAAAGGATGAAGTAGCCCGTATACAATTTAAATAACAAAATGGAGTTAAATGCAATTTAAAATCTAATTTTTTGCATAGACACTGGAAATAGGAGAGAAAATCCTGCATTTTGCTTTTGTCTTTGCCGCTCCGTTTTTTACCCCAATTTTTGCTTTTACCCCAAATTTTGCGATTTTAGTGCCGATTGGAGACGGTCTTAGTGAATCGTTACTAGTTAATATTGGTTTACTATCATCTTCTAATTAGAATATGCAATCACCAAAGCATGCCTTGTTAGGATATCTCTAAATTTGTTCATATATCAATTATTGAGTTAGTATTTTCCAATTTTCACAAAATAAAATATTGTAGTCACTAGTCAAAGTCAAAGTCTGAACTCAATTAAACTGAGTGTTTTTGTGATGACTAAGATGAACTACTTTGGAGTATTTTGATTTATAGAAAGCGACTCTGATGTGAAGTGGACCAACTTTGGCCCCTCATCAATTGTGTTTGAATTGGTCAAGTCTCTTTAAATATAAAAAATGATGTCCGTTGGTGGCAAAATTTGATTATTGAGGCACGTAGATATTTAAAGAGAGCCGTGCACATAAGTCACTTTTACCGGAAATGCTACGTCCTGTTACGGAACCATTTCGTCGGGATTTATAACCGTTAAATCATTGTGTAATTATCAGTTAAAAACTCCGACAAAAGAGTTCTGTAACGGAATTGTAGCATTTTTCCACTTGGGTATTTTTAAGTAGCAGTCTGTATAAATAATGGCTTTCAATTTGAATTGTCTACTACTATCTTAATTACCTGTTTAATGTCCCGAGTGGACTTTGGCAGACCTTGTTTGGCCTCTTGTTAGACGTTTGATTTCATTTACTTATTCAACTAATTACATTCCTAGAATTATCAATTAAGTGTGATTCGACAAAAAGATTTTTTATTTTTTTTAAAAAAAAATCTCGTCTAAAAAAGTGTGATAAAGAGATGTATGCAAAAAGTTGTTTCTAAAAAAGTGAGATAAATTTGAGTGAATATATATATTCGATAAATATGTAATGTTTAAAATAACAAAATTTTTATTAATAAGATTGATAGTTGTGTATGAATAAATAGTGTTTTTTGTTGAGTAATAAATATATATATATATAATAGCGATTTTTTTTTTTTAACTGTGTAATTGAAAAAATGAGATGATTAAATAACTAAACAAAAATTGTATTTCAGTGGAAATGCCAACGGATGTTTCAATGGTTTAATTTCCTTGAGAATTGTTGCAATTAAAATATTCTGAGATCTTCATGAAATTTTAGATCGAATTTAGTAATTCAAACTGTTATTTTTTTCATATGTTTTTTACCATTAGATTAGGCAATATTCATTAGAAGTTTTATTTTCACCCATATTTCAACCGTTAAAATCCATTAGAAATTCCATTGGAAATTTCAATGAAAAACTATATCCAAAATAAATTTTTCACTTAAATTTTCATTTGAGTCCATTGAAAAATTTCAACAAAAATAACATCATTGGAGTATCCATTGAAATTGTCGTTGAATTAATTTTATTAGAGTATTTTTCATTGAAATTTCATTTTTTTATTGTAGTGATTGTTCCTTTTTTTTTT